TAAAAGAAAGTATTTTGGGGATAGGTGTTCACATTCCAAAGGGTCCTAAAAATTTGGAGGGAAAGTCTCACACAACTAGACTAGTCAATTGTTCCATTTTATATAGACCCAAAATTAGGGAGATTACTGTACTTCTCTGATAAAGGAACTGTGTGTGAAAATGCATTTTTTTATGTACTGGCTTTGGGACACTGCTTGTCAAACCATAAAAACACAAGTATTTGACGTAAGTATTTGTTGGCTTTTAAAGAGATTTTTTTTAAAGCACTGTCTACGATTAAAATATTTCCAAATATTAAGAAATTTCCAAATTAAGATATTTCCAAAATGAAACTGTTCTTTAAAGTTAATCATCCCTGCTTTAATCTGAAAATTTAGGCAGAGAAGTGTCACTGTAGATGGCACAATAGCTAGGAAACAGGGAACATGTTTCCTGTTTCATCTTGAGGGCGCTCACAAGGCAGGTGCGGGACAACCAGGGCATCAGGCCCAGCCAACACGGGTTCATGGAAGGCAGGTCCTGCTTGACCAACCTGATCTCCTTCTATGACCAGGTGACCCGCCTAGTGGACAAGGGAAGGGCTGTGGATGTGGTCTGGACTTCAGTAAGGCCTTTGACACCGTCTCCCACAGCATTCTCCTAGAGAAGCTGGCGGCTCACGGCTTAGACAGGTGGACTCTGCGCTGGGTCAAAAACTGGCTGGACGGCCGGGCCCAGAGAGTTGTGGTGAACGGACTTCAATCCAGTTGGCGGCCGGTCACGAGCGGTGTTCCCCAGGGCTCAGTTTTGGGGCCAGTCTTGTTCAATATCTTTATCAATGATCTGGATGAGGGGATCGAGTGCACCCTCAGTAAGTTTGCAGACAACACCAAGTTGGGCGGGAGTGTTGATCTGCTCGAGGGTAGGAAGGCTCTGCAGAGGGACCTGGACAGGCTGGATCGATGGGCCGAGGCCAACTGCATGAGATTCAACAAGGCCAAGTGCCGGGTCCTGCACTTCGGCCACAACAACCCCATGCAGCGCTACAGGCTTGGGGAAGAGTGGCTGGAAAGCTGCCTGGCGGAAAAGGACCTGGGGGTG